TAACGCGTTGCAAAATTAAAAAACAAAAAAAAAAAAAAAAAAAAAAAAAAAAAAAAAAAAAAAAAAACCCTCCCCTCCCAAACATTATCCGTGGAAAATAAACTTCAAAAACAGCCAATAGTCCTTGGAAAAACATAGTTTAAGATTTTATTGTTACTCTTAGTTTAAAAGACGGTTCTTGCGATGACTCAAATATAAATCGTTTCTCTTATAGCTGGCCTAATTAAATGAAAATAATGTTATACCAAGATTAACACAAACAGTAGATGCCTCTCTTAAATATATGATGTTAATATCCTCACACATTTAAAATAGTTACATGTACACTGGGCGTTCGGAACAGAATAACAAAAAGAAGACTTAATGAATTAAGCGATAATGTAAGATTTTTAAATAGATTATCGATGACTTCATTTCTTTGAAAAGGGGGGGGGGGGGTGATCTGACAGGATGTTCTCATGATTTTTCTCTCGGCACTAAATATTTCAGCTATTGACATTTCTAATTGTTTCTCTGTTTGGTCATTTAATAATCTCCAGCTCCGCAATTGTTGTGGCATCTTCAGCTGAGCCATATGTGTATACTCTAATCCGTTAATTGGTGAGGTCTTTTTTTTAATTTTCTTTTTTAATGCGCGTGTTTGTTATTTTCTTTAATTCTTCTAGATCGTAATCATTTTTTTTATTCTATGTCATCTAATAAACCACACATGGTTAACGACAGAGTTTGTTGATGGGGACAAAATTATTGTGACAAAATATATACATAGTAAAATATATCAGTAACATGCAAACCCCACAACAATATGATTATTCTATGTTTATTCTGCCATATTTTATGTCAGTGTATAAATGATAGCGATATATCTTAAAAATAAATAAATTAAAAAACTGTTTTTCATTGTGCCGATTTAAAAGAAAATGCATTGCGTTTTGTTCAAGTTCAATCATGTTTCCGTTTCAAGGGGAACAACCAAATAAGTACAACTTACGACTGGACTTTCAAGTTGCCTCCCATCTTACATTTATAAAAAAACAAACCTATTTTCAACTACGAATTTTGTGAGTTGACTTATGTATATAGAAATATTGTATTGTTGAACACTACTGTTTTAAATTACATTTTCTGGCAGCCCAACCCCGCCCGCTCTCCGAAATCTAAACATATAGAACTTATAAGCCTAATAAAATGCATCAGAAACGTTCACACCCCGACACAAACAGATTCCTCCGTCCAGTGTACAGATCAAAAGTTTAAATCAGGTTACCCATTCGATATACAATGTTTTTAACCAAACATTACAGCACGCAGTGTATCAGTTCAAATAAAAAAAACAATTACCCACAGTAAAGCTATTTCAAAGGGTCGTGACCAGGGCCCAACGGGATAGCAAACCAGTGGCTGGAAAGTGTGGCGTTAAAAGACCACAACCACCAGCCCTCCAGAAACAGATGTTCGAAAGAAAACCCCAAATATTTCAGGTTAACTATGGCAACATTAAATATCCGAGGGGGGGGGGGGGGGCGCTAGGGACAAAACACATTACATAACAACATTATAAATAAACACAATATTGATATCTTACTTTTACTGGAAACTGAATTTGGAACTACAGAAGAAGGAAACACTGCACAGTACTGGTTTCAGTTGCAGATGAACCAGTATACTTTGTACATCAGACAAACACAAAATTAAAAGTACAAACACGGATAAACGGGGGAGGATAGCATGCATCACCTTGAATATTGATACAACATAAATAACATAATCATTCTATATTCCCCTACGCCAGGGGTCGGCAACCTGCGGCTCGCGAGCCGCATGTGGCTCTTTTGATGTCAAAATGCGGCTCTCTAGCCCCTTGCACAAATATTAATAATTATACTTTTTCATTTTCAAAATTAAAAATAAATATTACACTGTAAAGAAACACAACTTTAAACAGGATAAACACACTCATCCGAGAACAGTGAGAATAGTTGCAGTATGAAGTATACGAACAGCCGTTTGGGCACCAGGCCCAGCCCTTACACTTTACAGCAGTCCTATGGACAGCCCAGTGGCAACAATACCATGCTTGCCTCTGCCAAGTGCCGACTTTTTTCGAAATCTTTGAATGGGGGATGTTATTTTATTCAGAATGCATTTCCCTATCGGTCAGTAATCATTAATTTGACCTGAGTGACGTAGTGTTTTAGTTATAAGCTTCCTACGGTCGAGCTGGGTACTGGACGGTGGGGTACGAATTTGCACTGGGGGTGGAATATAAGCCTGTTGAGAACCAAATAACAGAAATGACCGATATCCTACACGGTAATCAAACCGATACCCACGGACAGTTAGGCCTAGTCGGAGTTTGCCGTATTGAGGCCTGCCTGGATAATGGCAGACACCTCCTGAGCCGGTGATACCAGCCCGTAAAGACAGAAAAAGAAGTTAACATCTTCTTGATAAGTGGATTGTGATAGTTCTATAGTTATATTATTTGACAACTAATTTTATTACTCTGGTGAGACGTGTATGTTTTTATATGAATAAATATTGTTTCATATTTAAAGCTATTTATTTTAAATAGCAAATAAAATGTATTTACATAATCCTAATCAAATACCAATATTGAAAAAAGATGTGGCTCTTTAAAAACGTGGACATGTAAATTGTAATTTTTAGCTCTTCCGTCTCAAAAGGTTGCCGATCCCTGGACTACGTGGAGTAGACAGAAAAATAAGAATAAGTGTTTGATAAGAAAAGCAATGTATACAGATATAACCGTTAATAACTATGTTTGATTTTTATGTAAAGATAAATTGTTATTATGCACATCGTTGCAACTTTGTTAGCTTATTTATCGGTAAACAACTAGCCTTGCATATCATGCCTCTTCAAGTTTCAAAACATTTTATTGACATAATATCAAAACATATAATTACTGCTTGATTTCTTTTTGTTCTACCTCACATACAACCTACAACGCCCCTCAAAATTGCAGTTGCATTTTTTTTTAAACATCGATATTTTTCTAAAATCTTGTCTAAACTATTACAGTTTATTAAAACAGTTATCTAAAACTCGAAATTACGTCTAAAATTCGTTTTATAACATTGCTTTTTATAATGCAAATGTGTGACGTCGCAACATCTGAACCCCCCCGTCCCCGTCCCCCTCATCACACATCGGCACAAAATTACGGACCCCCCCCCCTCCCCCTTACGAGTGTGACGTCATTTATGGATGACCCATTAGCCCTCATTGGACATTGTGTTCCCTTCTAAACACAATCAAATCATTCTGCTGGAATATATATGTAACTGCTGAAATGTATTTATATTTCGGACAACTCAGATTATATAAAAATAAATAAAAATAAATATTAGTGCTTATTTGTTTTTCTCAACGTTATTTTTAACGCACTGCACCTTTCATTAACAAAAGTTTCAGTAAACTAGACGAGTTAATAAGTACAAAAACATTTTAATTTCAAACAGTTTAAATTGATGTATCCTTAAAAATAAAAAAAACACATTCGAAAAAAAAAGTTTGGCACATTTATAAAACTTGTTTAAAAGTTTGAAATAAACACAGATAAACTTTGTCGTATTTTTACTACTGAAGTTCACTTTGCTTTTAACGACGATTGTATGTTATTTTCCTTCTGTTTCCTCAATCAATAATTACTTAGCACAGTTTAAAAACTGTTTAACTGATCAATTATTATTTTCGGTAAGTCGCCATTCGGTCAAAAAAAAAAAAAAAACGTAAGTGTGGATACAGTACATAACAGTGTTTCTTCCAGACTTTTTTCTCCGGGGGGGGGGCACTTGAAATTCTCGGGGGGGTAGACTTTCTTCGGGTGGGGGGGGGGGGCGGACACTGTTAAAAGTATATATTTTCTATATAAATTATATAAATTTCATTTCGTTCGGCGGGGTGGTAAAAATTTTTCGGGGGGGGGGGGGGGGGGGTTAAAGACCCCCCCCCCCCGAAGAGATGCCTGGAAGAAACTCTGGTGGATAACAAGAAGAGATATCCACATCAACAACATGCGGGTAGCAAGGACGACAATCACTCTGTCGGACACTCCACTAGTCAGTGATGATTGACATTATATGCTTATTTCCCTTTGATCAGTTTAATTTTGCTGACTTCCTTTACTGACTTAACAAGTAGACGGGTTTAGGTAAGTTTAAAATGTGTAATGACATGTGAAGATAGAAAAATGCAGCCATAACATAGAGTATTTACAAACTGTTGTAATAGTGTGTAACTATAAAAGACTGACTTTGGTCGTCTGCGGGCCCCTAAACGCCCCTCCCCCCCACTGCGTCGTCTGGCGGCACTGTAGTTCCACCCCTGCACACCATCCTCAACATCACCCATGGCAATTACTGACACTAAAGTGACACGTCTAGATTTTCTAGTTTGGTTTAGATATTTTTAATTATTAAATGTACTACAAACAGTTATGCCCCATGTTTTGATTTCATAAATCTAGGGGGATTAATTCATAAATATGATTAGGGACAATATTTCAAGATTTGTTCAAAAGTAGTTTAGAATGAAGCAAAAGATAGTTTATTTTGTTTTATAAAAATTATAGGGTGATAGATTTTTTCAAAACTGTATCTTTTGTTGAAGACATAAGTATTATTTTATATATATACAAAAAAATAAAACTTATAAAAATATATTTTATGTTTTGTTTTCTTGAGACGCTTGACATTCTACTACGAGTCAACATACGCTTGCTTGTGTGATACCATTCGAATAGTAATAAATTTATTTGAACATGGCGACGTCCTTAGGAAACTTATTGCCGAAAATGAGTGTTCTTATAAAAAATTTAAGACCCTGCAATAATTCAATAAAAACATATATTGGCCCACCTTACTGTGTTTTTCAGGTTTCAAGGATGTTACGTTACAGTCCAGTTTTTTTAGACCCAATAACTAATAAAGAAGAACTAAACGAAAAGCTATCAGAAAACGATCAGAGACTCCACTCTAAGCCCCGACAACAGATGTTTCAATTTCACCTTTGTTCTATGATCTTATTGTTTTAAAATTCACAAATGTTATGATGAAAGGAGGAAATAAGGAAAAAGTCAGGGAAGTGATGCGTCGGTTGTTCGAAAACATGAAGCACCTTCAAATTGAGAAATGGCACAAGGCTTCTGAGATAGATAGGAGTCAGATTGAGTGCAATCCTGTAAACATCTTCAAACAAGCTGTTGACAATTGCAAACCACTGCTGATAACTGTTAGGGTTGTCAAAGGTGGAGTAGCGTATAGGGTACCAGTGTGTGCCAAGGACAGCGAAAGTCAGTTTAGGGCTATGAAGTGGATTATTGATAGCTGTAGAGACAAAGAAAGGAGAATCCCAATGGAAGAAAAACTTACTCTTGAAATCATGGATGCTTACAATAATCAGGGTAAGGCAGTGAGAAAGAAGCAAGAACTTCATAAGACTTGTGAGAGTAATCGAGCCTATGCACATTTAAGATAAAGATTGTGATATCAGAGTTGCTGAGTATATAAATTATGTAACACATTACAAGATTATAATTTTTTTAATAGTAAAACCATCTGAGATGCATTATGTAAATAAACCTTAATAGTCTTTTTAAAAAATAAATAAATAATAAATTTATTTAAAAAAAAACTCATTAGAGAGTTCATTTTCAAAAAAGAAAAGACTAGAAATATTAGCCACAAAAACTTAAAACAAAACAAATTAAATGGAGTTTTAGAACTACACGACATTCATACTAAAATGAACACCTTCCGATTAAAACATATGGATAGAATAAGGATAGAACCACATTAGTATTCATTAGCACAATACTACATAGGGTTAAACCTAAAGAGCATTTTGAAATTAATCATCAAAACACCACACTATCGGGGAAATGACATAGTCAGCTTTTATAAAGAAACGCTAGCAACATTCCATGTAAACAAAAGCATTATTGGGGAAGACACAAAAAAATATACGACATCCTAATCAAACAACAAGCGACACCATTATACACGAGAATTAGTTGGGCCAGGGAACACAATATAATAGACATTAAAGATACATTTAGAAACCTACATAATAAACGCATTACACCAAAAGAAAGGGAAGTAGCATACAGACTGATTTTTAATACAACTCAAGTTTCACGAAATACAAAGTCAAATCAAAATGTTAAAACAACATGTCACTTAAACATTGAAAGCTTTATAAATAAAGAAGGATTTAAAAGTTATCACAACAACTTTGGTTATTATTCTTCAAACAGAAAAGTATAAAATTAAGATAACTTTGTGTCGATTAAAATGTAAATACAATTCATGTTTTATCATGGTGTATGTTTAAATATTTAACTTTAAACGATATAAAGTACATGTGTTATTAACTTCGGATCGATTCTTTCAACATATATTTGCGTTCAAACCTTGTAGACCTACTGTGCGCCAATTTTTTTGTGTGCATTTGTGTTAAAATTATGTATATTAATCATGTCTGGAGAGGTAACACACAACTCTCTATAGGGCTGGTAAGTAGGTCACCAACCAGTTCTATGGCTCATGCAGGTTTTATTGAGCTGTCGAACTGGTTGGTGACCTACTAACCAGCCCTATAGCTGGCGAAATTTAATGGAAATAATGTTCTACCAAGACTAACACAAACAGTAGTTGACTATCTTAACGATATGATGTAAATATCCTCACATATTTGAAATAATTACAGGTACACTGGGCGCAATGAACAAAATTACAATAAGAAAACTTAATGCACAAAAAGTCAGAACATGAATTGATTAGCCTGAAATATGGCATTTAACAGTATCACATCAAGGTCATATATATTTATCTTGTGTCATTCGTTTATTTTAATCTCTAATTGTTAGAAATATTTGAAAAATAAAATAACATTTTTTGGTTGTTTTTTTTTTTTAAACTACATAGTATAATTCAAGTGGGAAAAAAAGTAAATTAGACATTCTCTCGTACCCACCCCGGTCATTGATTTACTTATATTGAAAATATTCGACTAAACATTTCTTCCTCTGTAAATTATTCAGATGGATGTATCATTGTTTTCTCTATAGTTAGCAAGTTTGCAATGGGGTCACCCCCCCCCCTCCCTCCCTTTACGAGATCGTCAATCTGTACTTAATAGACTTTTTAACTTTAATTAATCAATCACTGACCTGGTGAAAAACATATTTCTGCCTCGCGACGCATTTGACTTGCACCACCACACCATTCTCTATTTGAATGCATTCACGAAATTATTGTTAATTGTAACAGTTACTTTCCGTTTTTATAATTTAAATACACTAAGGGAGATAATACATCCGTTTGGTTCCAAAACATACTTAAATATTATATTAATATTAATTTAAAAATGATATGCGGATTGTTGTTCATTTTTCATTTAAAATGTTTCTTCAAAACTTTGAAAGTATGATTTACAACTTTTTTATGTAATACTCACTTATTAGTCTTCCCTTTTCACAAAACGGAAAGCTTTAAATAAAGTAACATTCCTTTTGTATAGTTGAGAAAACATCTAATTGCCATTTGCTTAATAGCTAAGAAACTCGGGTTCTTTATTTTCTTTCGAATATCAAATCTGGCCATCGATCGCTGTGGGGTTGCGCCCACACCTCCCTCGAAGTGCACATGCCCTCGAGATGACTCACCCAGCACTTCTATTGGGTGACTTCCAAATGTACTAGTGGCTAATTTTCTATATTTTCAGCGTGACGACACCCACCTAGGAGAAATATTAGGTGGTACATTCCGTCACAAATACCAGCAAAGCAACTTATCATATCTCAAATACTTAGTACTTCCTCATCTACGATACAAAATTAGTTGACTGCCCACAACTTCACGACTACTCTGACGACACCAACCTAGGTGAAATTTTAGATAGCAGGTTCCGTCACAAACACCATCAAATCAATTCAACATCCCTCAAAGATCAACTACTCAAACAACTTCACGAGTACTCAACTCGCATAAAAAACACTCGTCAACAGCCTCACTTCGCCCATTTCAACTACTCAACCAAGCTTTCGGCTACTCGATCACTCTCAATTTTTTCTTTTTAACAATCTTCTACACATCAATACCACGAAAAATAAACTTTCTTCAACAACATTATTTCGCCCACTTCAACTAATTGACTACACAAGAATACCCTACGATACAACTTCACTCTCTCTCAAACTACAACGAACAATAAATCAAAGCAACCTATGGAAAAGGATATCTCAATACAAGGACACCACCTCAACTACCCACTTCAAGCTCTACTCCATACGAACAACTCTACCATCAACGACAAGACACGAGAATCGTCCTTTCCACCATGCAACATCCCTCATTGATACTCTCAAAGTAAAACGACTCTACAAAACTAGCTACTACCAACTAAGAATCAACCACTACCCAACCAAGACTGTAATACACGCAAGAAGCAAGGCCAAAGAACTCCGAGAAGCGATTATGTTTTGTCATGTACTCTGTTATTTTAAAAGAAACCAAGAAACCGGAAGTAAAAACAAGAAGACAGTAGGACACGCAAAATACGACAAGCTCGGATTTAATTGTTTAAATATGCATACAATTTAATGTATGTCTATGCTCATGTAAACCTGCCCTTGATGCCTACCCTTGCTCGATTGGGGAAGCAGCAAGAGAAGTACAATATTAATATATAAATATACATATATATATATATCTATATATATATACATATATATATATATATATATATATATATATATATATATATATATATATATATATATATATATATTTTTTTTTTTTTTTTCGAAAAAATAACACAATGCACAGAGATACTTTTTTTTTCTTTTTTAAGTCTCAGGGTTGTAAATTTTTCTTTTCATCGAGCGCAGCCAGTGTTTGTGTGGTGGCAGTTGCTGATTTTTTTTACTACTTTCATCATGCGACTTATGAAGACCGTCGCAGATTTACAATTTTTAATCAATTCGTGAAACGTTCATTCTTAAATGTACATATTATTTACATAATAAAGAGCAGGCTTTGTAGAGGGGGTGGTGAGGGGGGGGGGGGGGTATTTCCTGGAACATTTGAGCTTTGCTATTTCTGAAAGATAAAAGTTACTAATTGGATAAGATTTAGATATGATAATAAAAGTGGTGGGTTATAGTAAACTTTATATTAGCAAATTTGGCTCCAAAAGTTGGTATGGGCTTCCTAAAAGAGCGAAGAAGTACAATTAGTTATACATGAATTTATACATAATATATTATATACAATACGTGATCATTAGCATTCACACTTTTCATTTGTCTCTATCATCTGCAAACATTCTTCTCTTTTTTTTTTTTAGTTATAATTTTTTAAATTTTTTGTGCTTATAATTTTATTTTATGTTTTATTGTTAGCATAATCAAAATTTTAAAGTATATACATTCAGAACAAATCATTTAATTAATTAAGCTTGTAAGTATAGATAGAGTCATGAAATCAATAACGTTAAACACATTTTACAGTTTAGTAATAATAGTGTAATAACAAGGTAAATAAAAAGTGTATATAACTCCATTTTCCTAACAAGCATAGTATTAATTTGGTTGCCTCCCCTGCCTATTGTATTTTATTTTTACAATTACCAAAATAATAAATAAAATGAGTAATAATTTCATGTTTTAAACATGTGCCAATCCCAAAGTAAGCTTAGTAAAGAAAGAAAAAATGTTGGAAATCGTTAGCAATGATCAGAGCCCATAGTAGTGAAAACAAGATGGCTAAGATTAAAAGTAATATAAATAGTTTAGTAAAATAAAAGTAAGGTATATGACTCAATTTCCCCAACAGATACAGTATTTATTTGGTTGTTTCCCCTTCCAACGATTCACTTTTAGATTATGCTGATATTTTACCAAAATATTACATTAAAAGGAATATTAATTTATGGCTTCCAAAACATGTTAATTATAAAATCAGTTTAGTATAGAAACAAAGCCAAAAAAATTGTTAGCAATAATTAGAATCCATAATAACTGAAAACAAAGTGGTTAAAATTAATATTAATAACGTTAGTTAAAATTAAAGGTGAAAAACTGCAGCCAACCTAAACTCCTTACAATTAATCATGAAAGTTCAAGATATGATCAGTCTCCCTGACTCAAACCTAACTAGTGAAGGAATGAGATGTATAAAAAAAGGGGAGAAAGAGGATATTTCTGAATGTGTTGACTATATTCCAGTGCCTTAAATCATGACTGTGTTGTCTAGTCTTTTCTTAATCACTGCTCTAAATATAGCCTCTAGATCTATATCGTTGTAGGTTTTTAGTTCAAATTTACATTTGTTTCTAGTCCAAACTGTATGTCTAAAAATAGCTATTGCAGTAATTTTATTGTCATCGTCTATTTTGTTTTTAAATTTCTTTATGGAGTTGAGAGTGATTGATTTGTTTAATGCGTCAGTCTTGGTGGTTTCTAGTATTGTCCCTAAAGTTTGTCTTACTGTTAGTAGTGCTGTGCATTCTAAATAAAAATGTTGTTCTGTTTCTTGTACCTGTTGTTTACATATTTGACATGTTATTTTAATGTTCGTGTTAACATTTGTG